ACACTAATGTCAAACTTTGGAGAAACTAGTGTTTTAGCCATCATGAAATTATTTCCGCTGTCTCAATTTTGTTTCACGTAACATTACGTCAAGCGCCGAAGCCATGACAATCCTAGGAGGGTCTAAAGGCATGCTCTACTGGAAAAATTTTGAAATCCTAACCCTCTAAAACACCATTTCCTGCATTTTGAGGAGCAAATTTTGCTGGTAGACTAAGCTTAGTTCAATCACATCTCTTTTAGTCAAAAATTGCACAAGGGTTTGATTTTTTTTGGGAGGCGTGTCTGTGTCTGTCAAGGATAACAGATTGGGCAAAATTTTTGTCCGTCATTAGCAGCAAAATTCTTTCAATGACGGAAAGGCGGATGCTGGCTAGAACACTGCTTTGGAGACAAAATCAAACCAGTCCTAATTTTTGTTTTTGTGGATCTCAGCCAATGTGCTTTTAGGTTGACGTACGACCTTACATGGCTTTGATTGAGTAACGTCATTCCTTAAACATGGGGAAGTGGAAGGCCCGACACTTGCCTTTAAATCTTGTGTGAAAGTTTTGGCAGGGTGCATCATTTGCCATGCATAGGTGTTATAAAAGCCGGCGTACTTCAGTCATTGTCAGTTGCTGAAATAGGATGGTTGCTGAAGGCTACCGACACCACAAATCACAAAGTTTGGGTAGCACTGTTTTTCTGTGGTGTGTGCGTGCAGCATACTAGGATTACTGGGTTTCTTGTATATTAAGTTTGTTCCAAGTTAGTAGATGTCCATTTTTGTCTTTTTGCTACAAATGAATTCAAATAAATAGACTTCAAATAAGTGCAAAATCACCGTTTAGTATAAAAAAAGTCTTGAAAATCTAAAATCAGTTTGACAGCAGTGGACTGTCGTTCATGGCAAAAATGAGCAAAAATCATGCAGGTTTGACCATTCATGTTGCCTAAATTGGACATCTTTTAATAACATAACCAGTACAAAATGTATGTGTCAATAAAAACTATACTTGTGTGTTTGAGAGGTCGTAACTCGTTGTGGTGACATGTTCTGGTGAAATGTTGCCTTTAAGACTGGTTGGATATGTTGACTGACCAAACACAGTTCTACCCACACAAAGAAATAGAAACCTCCGGTGTAATTCTCTTCTCAAGGGTTGTCCAAGAAGATAAACGACGTTGCAGGGTGCAGGCCACTTGGACACGGCACAGAATCACGATCAATGTGAACTCCACCCAACGAACTTCTTGTTCCGCAGCGGCTAACAAGAATGTTTGGAAGGATGCTCTCTAGTTCTCTCCCGAGTGGCGGGCCCTGACGGATAAGACAAACGACCAATGGTTGCGAGCCAGTTTGGACACGACGTAGAGGAAGATTGGACCGACAGCTTTCGGTAGCACATGTGCAACGCAATAAGGAGGGAAACTTTATACAGCGAGTTGAGACCGCATCATCCGGACACCCACCCACCCGGACAGGTGCGTCCGTGTCAGCAGTGACAAACGACCGCCGAACTGTGGGCCACTTAGAAAACGTACTGCGGTGGATTCCGGGCGGACTAACCGTGCTAATTGCGGGAGTTCATTTCCCAACCTTGCTTGTAAAGTTTTTTAACCATGGCCGGGGAGCGCGGGAAGATAAATGAGCCTATTATTGCACTCAGAAGAACAATGAAGGGGTGAAAAGCACTCGGACCATGTGTCTAGGGGAAATTGCCGGGAGGACGGTAGGGGCTATCCATCGATTTTCGTGTCAAAGTGCTCTTAGAAGGTGGAAAGTTCGGGCCGCCGAGTTCTTAAGTTTGACACCCAAAAGGGCAATGCGAACGAGAGGAGAAAGGTAGAGGGCGTAATGAGAGGAACACCCCGAGGTAGAGATAGGAAGTCATGTATCACCTCTAGGTTCAAAAGCTACCGGGTCAAGCCTGTGAAAAGGTACTTCTTTGACGGCCCGAGTCTCCTAAATCTTTTTCGCTCCCCGAGGAAAGGTGAAGGAAAGGAAGACTCCAGAGAAAGAAAAGCTCCAATAAATCACTTCTGAACTTGAAAGTCAGAGGGCGTTTGATAAAGTGAGTGTTTCTTTAAATATGATGCTCTTTCTTACTGGAGAAAAGCTGGAGAGAATGGGTCCTGGACAACTACACTAAAGGTAGACAAAAAGGTATTGCAACTTGAGAGATGGGAGTGTCGTGACTCCTCACATTTTTTCAACAAAAAAAGAGAGATTCTGGTCTTTTCAAGACCAGATTCAAATGAAAAAGCAATTCAGCATGAAGAACAAATGTGCCATTTTACAGAATGTGATAGACAGTACATTTATAGCTTTACAGTAAGTTGAACTACATGTAGCCCTGGAAAAAAAGTTGCATTTCCACTTACCCAACCAACCGTAGCAGAAACTGGCTAACACTACCATATATATTTCTTTTGGGGGGGGGGGTTCGACCAGTTGCAAGGTACATAATCACAAAATAGTTCTTTATTCATTAGAATATGAATTCACATAAGGCCAGCAAAGGACAAAATGCAGAACAATGTTATAATTATGATACATACAAACAACAAACTTCTGTATCTGTATCCGTATGGCCGGTATAACAGTAAAACTGTAACAGTTACAGTAACTGCTATTTGGCCTATTCACAGTCACCAGCTTCAAACTTGATTTTCGAAACATAAAAAAAATTTCCACGGTTCATAAACATCTGCTTCGTAATTCAAAAGAATGAAAAATAACTACTTTTATACTTATTGTTGTGTATATGATTGATGATTCAAGAATCAAATTACAATAATTGTAGTTACTCCTCATTCTTTTGAATTGCGAAGCTTTGTATTGTACTTGTAGGTGAACAAAACAGGTTCTGGAAATTACAGCACCAAAACAGGTGACGGCTCGGCCCACAAATCATTTCGGACAGCGTTGGCAACACAGGTGACACCTCCTGTCGGATCACTTCGTTCCAGGCGCCAGCGGTAGGTCTGGACCTGTGAAAAATCTCTTCCGACCCGCCGCAAAACAATGACCCGCCATTTACCTGATGGATGATGAGTAGACAATTATGACGGACGTTCGGCAGGTTCTTTGTGGGGCCGGGCGGTTGGAACAATGGGCCGCTGTCATCAGGACAGACCACAAGGCCATTTTTTGTCACATAGGAACACAAGGACATTATCGTCCTGTCTGGACTGGCATATAAATCCAACAGCCAGTCTGGGATCCGGGAAAAACATGTCTGTCAATGTGACAGGAGAAATTAAAGACATCCACAATGAGTGATTTAAGGGCAGTAGAACTGGATTTTCAGAGTCAATTTTCTGGTCATTTTTTTAACGTTGTAGTAAGTTGAATCATCCCTATCCCATAGCATGTACCATGTAGTGTCTGTGAGGCAAAAATGTGATGTTACTGACGGAAATCACTGGCCTGTTTTGTATTTATTTGTGGTACAAAAAAATTCAGGCACTTCTCACATTGCGTTTTGAGGCTATTTCAAATGCTCCAAGTACTAGTATATAATGATGACAAAAATTTGCTAGGAAATAGCAGTAAATGTCAATATCAGAGATTTTTTCTCATACAGAATATTTTTTTGTATTGCCACCCTGATATTACATTGGATTTCTTTAACTTACCAGGCATCCCCAAAAAGTACTCCAGAAAATAGTACATGTAATTCACTGCATCTGAAGCCAGCAGAGCTAGTTTTCTAATCATAACCTTCTCTCTATCTATCTGCTGCCTAACCAGATAACCAAAAAGAATTAGGAGCCAGACACCTACTTCTTTATGCTAAAGGTTAAGAGACAGGTCTGAAAATGGCATGGTTGCTTGTTTGTTGAAAACAGAACTAAACCTGTTCTCAAACTCTGTCATATAAGCTTTTCCTTTTGCGCTTTTAGACAATAACTGAAGCCCTGCACTTGCCGTTAAAAAGGCTTGAAAATACAGGTGTATCAAGTTTCCGCCCCGCTTCCTAAAATTCAAATTATTCCACTACGTATTCTTTAGCATTAAGGAACTCATCAATCAAAGTTCCAACTATTAGTATTGATCACACAATACATCTAAGAAGTTATCTAGTCCACCTTGCTCCTCGAGTCTCGTCTTTTATTAGAATCATCTTGCAGATTAACTTTCTGCTAAAATGATTAGTACATTGACACATGGGTGGCTACTTGGTGGGTAATATTAGTAATGAAAGCCACGGTACAGAAAGTGCCACATAAATCATGGTCAGCAAATTGGTAGATGAATGATAATTAATTCCTTTGTCTAGCGTTTAATACGGGAGGTTGGGCCATCAATCAAGTGAACTGCTTTGGAGTGGGACCGCATAAATGTGTGCGGACGATACATCATAAAGTTCGGAAGAACGGAACGGGCGCCACCGAACCCGAGGCAGGGTGTCCTTCCGCAGACACCGCCGTGATGAATGGATCGTCAGAAATCCGCTCATCGCCCGCCCGACGGCCCACCGACTCACAATAGCCACTAACACTTGCTTACAATGTACCAACCGGTTTTTATTTCATGTCAGCTGGCAAGTGTCAAATACATCCCAAAGGGAAATGGATAGACACACATTTTAAACGTAACGAAAGTGATTTCAAGGCAGTAAAACTGGATTCAAATTCAATTTTATGGTAATTTAAAAAAAAAGTAATAAGTTGAATTGACCCTATCCCAGATAATATTGATATGTTTGTTTTGTTTCTAGCTATTTATTGGTGGTACCCAAAAATAACGAGACCCTTGATGTTGCTTCTATTTGGGCTATTTCGAATGCTTCAAGTATGAAATGATGACAAAAATGTGCTAAAAATGGTAGTAAATGTCAATATCAAACAGCTTTCCTTATCCCGAATATTTTTTGCCACCCTGAAATTGAATTGGATGAGTTTCACAGTTACGAAATTCAAATTTTATGGAGGAAAAAGAAAGGCTAACATAATATCTTTCTTGCCGTTTCATCGAGGCAAAAGGACTGTGACGGAACAGACGCTACTTACTCATGCTCGCTGCGTTGTCTGCAGCCACGATGTCTGAGGCTATGATGAGGGGGCTGTTGCTGGGGAGGGGGGGTTTCAGCTCTGCTGAAGTCGAACACCTGTTGGAAAACAAACAATGACCACTTTTAAGCAGTTACTCAAGCAATTGGATATGATTTTGGAAACGGTCAGACGTTTCAGCTAGTATCCAGTAGCTTTCGTCAGTGACTCACCACTTTTATTTATTTACATTTACCATATACAGGTGACTATTCTCAATTTTTCAAGATGTCAACCCTGGGACCAAACTGTAAGGTTTGACCAGATTCAACAGCCCTAACCAAAAGACTCTACTTTGTGAGGAACACTGGAATTCGAAGCATGAAAAGTGTACCTTAATCTTTAGCAAAATACATTTTCAATTTCTCAGTGAAACGTTAATCAGAACTCAGAGTTCAGATTTTGCTGATGGCATGGGGGAGGGGGGCGGCGTGAGGTCATGACCTTACAGTTATGCAAAATTTTTACCTCAGAAGTCCTTTTACATGTATTCCACTCATAAAAGAGGAAGATGACAGGAATCAAAACACTTAGTAAAAAGTTCACACAACATTGCAGAGTGTGAGCATTAAGTGTGTATGTTTAACCACAATTCAACAACACTGAAACCGCAATTACTACTTAAAGGGAGATGGTCTAAAGGTCGTTTTAAAGAGCTCACCTTTTTAAATTCCATTGTGCGAGGGGTTGAGTTAGGAGCTGGATGGGCGCGTCATCCATCTTGGGAACGCTGTCAACAGGTTGGGGATCGAGGACGTGCTCCATCAGGTTACCATGGCAACTGATGATGTACAGGGAGTCGACAGGTAGCGGCTTTCCAGGGTCTAAAAGCCAGGAAATGAAATAACGAGCGTTGAGTCATGACCCTAAATATTGTGAGACTCTTAGCCGGAAGCCCGTAAAAAATGACGAGCAGTTAACTACAGTTTGTTAAACACCGGGCTTGATGATTTTGTAGCCGGGCGCACGCAAAATGAAGCAAATTGTCCCTAATTGATGGAAATAATGCGTAGATGTCCCCGAGGGTTCTTTAATTAACTTGAGCATAATGTAACATTATAGAGCGTCATTTGGAATGAAAGCATCAACAATAACGAACATGTTTGTCCGCAATGATGCAGAACAATAAGCCGGGTACGACTCGGGTCTTTATGGTAGGGTCGTAACTCACTGTCAACAGCCAGACATTTTATGGCCTGAAGAGTAGACAGACTCTACATGTTTTCAAAGAACTGTCTCCAGTAGTGTTTTTGGACGGAAACTTGTATTACTAAGATCGATTAGCAATCCATAACGTTAAAGGGGAAAGGTCTGATCATGTGTGGTTGTCCAAACTTGTTTTGTCCCATAGGTGGGCATATGGCAACTCATCCTTCCATCATTCTTGACAAATAGGCCGCGTCTGAAAGACTAAAGCGTGTTCTCCCGTGATCGATTAAGCATTTCGCTTTTAAGGTGCTGACGGCCCAAACTTTTTGATCCGTCCGGAAGGCACTTTGCCGAAAGAAATATCGTTATGGGTTTTCGCGATTTGCGGAATTGTTTCGCCAGCGTTATCTACACATGGCGTACAAAGGTGCCGAGGACATTCCACCTGAATATAGATCGGAAATGTCTTCTAAATGGTCCGAAGGCACTCTTTGTACGACTTAAGGAAGGAAAAGTGGTACGAGGGAAATTTATTTGGGGAATTCGGTGGACACGGTTTACTGTCCACGATAAACTGCTGATCGATAATGCATCCACTTTCGAGCTTTTAGTGCTCGCATTCGCGGCGAGCGATACACATCGCGTAACATCGGTCTTCCTTTATGCCAGCTGCACTTCTCAAATCAAACAGTTTATTGGAAAGTTTCCTGACAAACCTTCGCATTGTATGCAAGAAAAGTGGTCGTTCGCGTGTGGGGATAGTTAGAGAAGTTGTCGGTCGCATCCATCAAGACGTGATACAAGTGTGCCGACCGTCGGGAACATATTGTGACGGCACTTAACGGATTTAGTCAAAACCTACTGGGAAGTTGACAAATATTTTGGATGAGATGATTTACTGTCAGCCCTTCCCGTCCCGCTATCTTTGAGGTGGATGCATCTGTCAGCTAAGACAGTGCCTTTTAATGGGTCTTAAGTACAGAGGTTCCTGGAAAGATACGCATCATTTCGAACAAATAAAAATTTCTCGGTATGCTAACTACTTCGCCAAGATTACCTCTTTGATTTTCTGTCAACGTGACGGATGGCGCCGGGAGCGCCGAGCTGTGCGTACTGCCGCTCAGAAACACCCCATCTGCGCGATTCTCGTGCCTGGGCCGCAGTACTTCACGAGAGCCTTTATCGAAAAGTCATGTCCGGTTTTCATGGACCCATTTGGGGGAAATAATCCTTTGATTTTCTGTCTCCCCGAGCTCCGCCCGGCGCATTTCCGTAAAACAAATCGTACCATTAAAAGCTACGCGACTTTATTAAAGCGTACTTTCGCCATCAAGAGAAAGCTCTTCTTCTATTTATCTTCCCAAGCACAAAACTTTAGGGGCCACGAGCAAAAACGACGGGTGGGTCTTCTCCCAATAGCGAAAAAGTGCGTACAAACCATCGCAGGACACAGTTAGGTTTTCAGCGCTGGTTCAATGGTCCGCCATGTTTCTAACCTTCCACAATCCATGTCAATGGTGTACAGCAAAAATTAGAATGGAAAAATGGAATACGCATTTTCTTTGTCCGGCAATTTTGCAAAATGTGGGGGAATCTCCAAGTTTAAATTACTACCCAACCCAATCCTTCTCCGTCTGCCCAAAATGCTCCAGACCTTCCTTCTAGTTTATATCGGATTCCTAAAGTGTTTGGTTCCTTACATAAAAGCCAATATTGTACACATATTGTAGGTGGTGATATCTACGCCGCTACACTACGTAGATATTCCACTTTTACAATTATGGCTTTTATGTGTATATTAGTTTTGACAATTAATAACCAACAACATGCTGACTTTATTTCCTGTTGTCTGTCTTATGCCTTTGGCTGCATGTTTGGCGGTAAATTTGGGAAGGCTTGTCCTTCAGAAAGGAAGCAGTCAACCCATGGGTAATTTGCGTATAATCAAAATTAAATAGCAGACTAATATTGCTTCAGAATGTCTCCTATCAGTTGCTGCATACAAGGGTTAAAACATCATTGGTTCAGAGTATGCTAAAGGTTAAAACGGTTGTTCTCCGAAGGCTGGAAAAAAATTTTCAACTCGTGACTCGATTGAATTTTTACAGCCCTACAACCATTGCATTTTGCAGTCTGCATTTTTCTCGAGATAAAAAAACTAGTTCCAATTTTGAGTGACCTTGCCATATGAATGTCACCCTACTGACAAGCCAGGATGGAGTGTATGTTTAAGGGCACTGACAGATAGCATCAGGACCGAGCTAGGTGGATACAAATGCTCCTCCTCTAGTTTGTACCGGTAATCCTATCCTCAGGTGCATTACTTAAGGAGCATCCTTGGATGTCAGGATGCAGGGCAGGGGACAAGTGAAGTGGTAGCCCTTAATGCACTTGACTTAATCTCAGATCCTACCAGACTGCCCTTAAGAGATGCTTCCACCGTCCCACGCTCGTCTTCAAACGGCGACTTTGTCATTTGGTGAGACTTAATATGGAGAATGATGGGCTGGAGGGACAAAAGGATGTAGACACAGTAAATTCATTTATTTTCACGGGGATCTAATTTCGCGCTTAAGGAGTGGAGAAAATTTTTTTGCGTTTTTTTTTGCGGTCAAAACAATATTGTAGACCAAAAACACATTTTTCGGATTTCGGAGACGCAAAGCAAAAACTGTGAATTCAAAATAAAAACACGTAGGGAACATGTCAAGATTTACAGTAAATGGAATGTACCTGCTACAAGCATGCATGATAGTGTGACTGTCTTAGTCTAACAAACAACAGTCTCTTCTTCATCTTCTATTGCATTAAATCAATTTCTCATGTGCTATTCCAACGGTCCCACAATATGCAAATTGGTAAGATTTTCATCTCCACAATTAGAAGCTTTGCAATTATTGCAACCACCAATGCTGGGAGGTAGGGAGGTAAAATAAATAGCACATTAGAGCACAAGATGTTTTTTCTCTTTGAATGTATGTCATTATATTGGTCACATGTTGCATCTGTGTGTGTCTGTGTGGTGTAGTGGTAGAGCATCTGACTGTCAAGAAAGGGGACCCAGGTTCAAGGGGACCCAGGTTCAATTCCCAGGGTTGGATCAGGACATGCATCCAGACGTTGTGCCCTTGAGAAAGGCACTTTACACGTATTTCCCCCCTCAGTTAGAGGGATCCTGGGCCCTTCTAGGGTTTGGGTTGGTGTTAGGAAGGGCATCTGGCAATCCTGCTTCAAAAAAGACTTGCACTCAATGCAAGCATGTCTAACCCCCCAGTTTAGGGGAAAAAAGATAGAAATCACAGAAATTTGGTATCATTTTTGGAGCCGCTTTTTTTCACATACTTCAGATCCTTTTGGTTTCACATTTATGAAAAGACAAATATGGCCTGCATGTAAAAGAATATATTTATACTGTTACAGTATACTACCCCATGTACATGTATGTAATAGTGTCATGCAGTCAAGAGGTAAAATGAACAAATGGACTTTATTGCTGGATAATCATACAGAGTACAATGTACAACTATTAAACTACAATACTACAAGTCTAATCTGAAATGAAAAGACGTGAACAGACAAGGGTTAGGGGTCTAACGACCCAGTCATAAAAAAGTAAAAAACTGAAAGGATGTATGTCGGGTAATCATCCCAAATTTGTCCACATAAAAAGGGATGACCAATCAAGTCCAGACTGACCCTCACACAACGACAGGACGGGACAACGGTAATCTCCCGCGCAACGTGGAACTCGGAGACACTTTGTCCTAATTGTCAATCCACAGTGTTCATAAAAAACTGCAAAACTCAAGGTTCATTAAGTTATATGGTCATCTGTATCATGTGCTTTCTCTTCTATTGGTGATCGCGCCGGAAGCACCTTTGGTAGAGATTGTCCGGAACAGCCCGCTGATCTTCGCTTTACGACTGGGAGATCTGTTTAAATCATTAAGGAAGGAAGTACGGAACGTGAAGTTGGACCATAGGTCGTGTAGTGATGTCCCCCAACTGACCAATTGCCGTTCATCTAAGTTAGCAAATTGTGCAATTTCATCTGATTGCACAATGTTTTTGGAACAAAAGTTAAGGTGTTTGTATAATTTCTTTTTCTCTTGGCATAAAGTACATCAAGTTACTAGTCAGTTTTAGGGGAGATCTGTTTAAATCATTAAGGAAGGAAGTCTGTTACGTGAAGTTGGACCATAGGTCGTGTAGTGATGTCCCCCAACTGACCAATTGCCATTCATCTAAGTTAGCAAATTGTGCAATTTCATCTGATTGCACAATGTTTTTGGAACAAAGTTTAGGTGTTTGTATAATTTCTTGTGATATTCTCTTGACATAAAGTTACATCGAGTTAGTCAGTTTTAGGGGAGATCTGTTTAAATCATTAAGGTCGGAAGTCTGTTACGTGAAGTTGGACCATAGGTCATGCAGTGATGTCCCCCAACTGACCAATTGTCATTCACCTAAGTTAGCAAATTGTGCACCCAATGGTTTCATTTTGATTGCACAATGTTTTTGGAACAAAGTTTAGGTGTTTGTATAATTTCTTGTGACATTCTCTTGACATAAAGTTACATCGAGTTAGTCAGTTTTAGGGGAGATCTGTTTAAATCATCAAGGAAGAAGTTTGTTACGTGGAGTTGGACCATAGGTCACGCAGGAATGTCCCCCAACTGACCAATTGCTGTTCTGCGTCGTTCATCTAAGTCAGCAAATCGTGTAGGTTGATTTCATCTGATTGTATGATAACTTTGGGACAAAGTTTACTGTGCTTGTACTACATTGTACTTCTTGTGACACTTGACATCAAGTACAGCAAGCTGATACTCTTCAACCTTCTCCCTGCTGTCCAACCCCATGTATAAACAAAATATTAATACAAAATGTGGTGCCAAATTGCATTATTATTAGCAGCCTGAAGGTGAAATATTTTAATAGAAACACTAACGAAAAAGAATCTACATGTCAGAATGTTTGACACTTAAGTACTGGTAGTACATTTGTTGACATTCTTGTTGACTCAAACTCATCACCCCACTTACCCGTTCCTAACCTTTTCACCTGTCTCAAACAGATACACAAACCCAAAACAATACTTCCATTCCCCGGTGAATTTAAAAAAACTGACCAGCCTTTTCTCTGGAGGCTGTGGGATTTCCGGTCCTCCAGCCCCTAGAGCTGTCTCAAACAGATACACAAACCCAAAACAATACTTCTATTCCCTGGTGAGTTAAAAAAATTGAACTGACCAGCCTTTTCTCTGGAGGCTGTGGGATTTCCTGTCCTCCAGCCCCTAGAGCTGGCAAACTGTGCCGCCCCACTTACCTGTTCCTGACCTTTTAACCTGTCTCAAACAGATACACCAACCCAAAACAATACTTCCATTCCCTGGTTAATTTAGAAAAGTGAACTGACCAGCCTTTTCTCTGGAGGCTGTGGGATTTCCTGTCCTCCAGCCCCTAGAGCTGGCAAACTGTGCCGCCACACAGAGCAGGTTGTTGTCCTGTTTGATGGGGGAGCCGTGAGGCTGGGGTTTCCCCGCCGCAGAACTCCCCGAGATCCCGCTCAACACCAGGGGCTGCTTGATCTGTGCAGCAGGGGTGACGACGGTGGGGTGGGGGAAGGGGGGCAGCCGACAGTTCTCCAAGTTGTTGTTAATTATGCTGCTACTGGGATAGCCTGAGAAA